GGGCCACAAAGTGCCATGCAGATGACGTTCTTAAACTCGGTTTATTCATAGGGCTAAGTACAGCCCATGTGACATTTTCAGCGTGTTTGATTGGCATTCTACAAAACTTATGGTTAGTATGCAAATGCATATACAGGCAGTCCCTGAGTTACAAACATCCGACTTACATACGACCCCTACTTACAAACGGAGGCTATTACTGTACAGCAGGGGGTCCCAGGCTGCAGCCAAAGTGTACCGCTCAGCATTTCAGTCATTGTAATGCTACCGCTCTCGTGCCGACGAGGAGTGCCCGCCTTTTTGGGTCTGGTTTGTAATACCGTACGTACATTACAGGAAGTTGGCTCTTGTTAGACGTACAGACGAGGGTTTCCCGCCTCTTCTGCCAGGTCACTGTGAGGTGTTTACTGCTGTCTGTATCCTCATTAGAAAGATTTCATCTCACTTCCTGTCCTTGAGACAACAGGAAGTGAGAGGAAATCTACCCATAGGAAGGGAAATTCACTACTGTAAGAGTTGCTATGGGAAAAAGCTGTCTTCACTGAAGCTTTATCACCAATCCTTGTTTCCACGACAAGCCAAAATTTTCAAAATGAGGTGAAACAGGGGCACACACAGCAAAACAAACGTTACAGGGGGTTAATCCTTCTCTATGCAATCCATAACTAAAAAAAAATTGGGGGCTGTGGTTACACTTAAAAAATTTACCTGTTCCAACATACAAATTCAACTTCAGAGCAAACCTACAGTCCCTACCTTGTTTGTAACTCGGGGACTGCCTGTATATACTATAAATTGCTTATAAGGGAAATAGATAAAGTGACATTAAACCCTCAGATTTTTTAACATAAAACAATACTGTAATGTGCGCCTTACTGTAATCCATGGTAGTTCCCCTTCTCTTTGCTGCTCTTCCTTTTAAATCTGTATCTGTTCTCATGCTCTGCAGAACTTCTGTTCTGCAGCAGACTGCCTTGTCTCAGGAATGGATACACGGTGTCTGTGTATAGGCTGTAACCTGAGCCAGCACTACAGGAAGAGGCCCTGAGCTGAAAAGGGAAGTTCTCCCCCAGCATGAGAAGAGATACGGATTTAAAAGGAAGAGCAGCAAAGAGAAGGGAAACAACCATGGATTACAGTAAGGCACACTTTACAGTATAGGTTTATGTTAAAAAAATCTGAGGGTTTAATGTCACTATAAGTAAGTCCTGTTTACTGATTTCAGATTATATTAAATCAATACTTTGCTGTACAATTGGACTGGAGATTATTTTTTAATACGCGTAGTTATTAGTGCAGATCTCAATCTTATAAAGGTGGTTTGAGTTAACTAATCGACAGACCTACAGCTTTGTTTTGAACTGGGAAGGAACATTAACTGTATCATGATACGGAAAGCACAGAGACGCACAGAAGCACCAGGGCACTTTAGAAACATGGCAAAATAAATGTCTAATCCATCGTGTTGTGTCCCATTTACTGGCCACTTTGTTACCAAACATCTCTTGGTTTTAACAATAGTTCTAAGCTAATTAACTTTTATCCTTTGGGCCAGCACTCTAGTAACTGATAAAACACGAGTCGGCAAGGGAGTATCCAGGCTACAGGCAAGTCTTCGACTTCCTTATTGATACAGTTTCTAAGCATTTATGAAAGGTTAGTTTATCAAAGATATGACAAATAGGCTTATTATCTGGAGGTGGACTCCATTAGGAACTGTTGTTTAAGCTGCTTTAGCCAAATGTATCTAGAAACCAGAGTTCTACAGAATATATAAGTACATACTGGAGCGTTTATGAGCTTCTATCGGGGGCGGTAAGAGTATTTGTTGTCTGCAGAGAGCGATGTACAGTGGAGATTAATTACTCTGGAAAACAGATGTAGGTTGGTAGATTGTTGACTCTTATCAGCAACTTATTATGGGTCCTTATTGTGTCCTGTTTCTGCCCTTTCAGTATCGGGAAGTGTCTCATAAATGTTGCCCTTTTAGTCTTTCCCCTTGTAGTGTCTGAACTGATAGCTGTCTATTGTTGGGCTCTTCAGTAACTGCTTTAAGGATAGGCCATACCAGGTATTTTGGTGGGATAAAATGTATGTCCCGGCAATACCCAAATATACCCCCGAGCCTCTCTCTCCCCCTCTAGAGCATGGCATGAATTCTTCTGTTACCTAGTTTCTGTAGTGAGTTCAGTTTCTATTGACGTAGACATGTCCTCCCAGAATTACATCCCCCGAGGGCCCTTTTGCTGCATACTGTATGTGGGCAGGCTCCTGGAAGTCAAGACAGCAGCATTGCTTTACTGCAATATAACTGTATGCATGTTGGGTGGTACGGAGAGGAAGTGGGGGCTAGGCTGAGTCTTGTAGTCCAACAGGCAGGGCCGACCGCACTTTTTAGGATTTCAGTACAGCAAATGATAAGAAAGCCCAGCACTACCTGCATGCTTCCTGGCAGCCTTTGTGAATCAAGTAATTAAAGGAAACCTGGACTGAGAGAAATGTATCGGCTGCCATTAATAATTTAATTTTGACAATGCTAAAAACCAGACCACCTGTGGCTTCAATTCTTTGAGACTCTTGCATGGCACAAACATTCAGTAACTGAAGTCAGTGTCACTGATCTGCAGTGACCCAGAGAGTATTAAAGCCTTTGGATCGGCTTGATTGCCAACTTTTATTTTGATACAGAGAGGCCAGCAATGGCAGCCTACTGCAAATTTCATGTACGAAGTGGGATAGGGGTTGCCTTCTAATCAGGTCTGTTAAAGGAGAACTATGACATGAGTGATTTCCACTCACCTCATAGTTCTAAGCCAACCTGTGACAATGAGACTGTCACAGGTCGGCTCAGTAGATCGGGAGGTGAGGGAAAACATACCGGGTTCCCTCACCTCTCGATCCTGTCACGGCTCTC